AAATGGTACGTACTTGCATGTATATGACATGGTAAAGTATATCGTATGGTATGGTATATTATACAATTATTGACTAGTGTGCCATTGAATATGATGTGATATTCACCCACAGATGACATATTGACCGAGGCGATAGCCGATGTCAATATGACTTTCTGCCGGTGATTATCACAATCACTAGTCAATAATTGTTTTATTATATGAATAGGCTATAAGAATTCTATAATATTAATAGGCTATAAGAAATAAAAAAAAATCACAGAAAGTACAACTTTGTACATGTATAACTTTTCCTGTTTCGTTGAAGCGCGGGAAAAAACGCACGTGAAAGGCGTGCAGCAACTACGCGAACGCTGCGCATACGAAAGTAATTCATGTTTATACTCATCATTGCGGTGTAACTTTTAACTATAATTGTAAAGTAATTATATTTTAATCGAGAAATATATCATTAACAACAAAACACAACAATCAATTTTAAATATCAATAGTCTACGATATATGGTCATTGAATTTGAGTCTCAATCTATTTTTGAACTGGGGAAATCCAATTCAGCCAGTGAATATGATAATTCACCCAGTGAATATGATTTTATAAAAAGTTCTGTTGACTACTGTTTGGACAAATGAGATTGCAGCTATATTTATATCATACACTAATATGTTCAGTTGAAAATGTGTCAGAGTTAAATTGTATACATATACATGCACAGTTTTATAGTTACCCGTACTCAGGAGCATGCTCATTGATTGGTCCATTTTTGCTGGAGTTTACATATTGTGGCGGCAGAGAGAGTGAAAGCGACAGAAATATCATATTCAGATGCTCGTTCATTGGTTACTTTTTCTGGGGTTTCATATTGTGACAACAGGGAACGTGTTTTTATGTTTGACTATGATACAAAAAAGAAAGAACATCAAGACACTCGGCAGTCTGGTTTATACTCGGGGGCTACCACCCCCCCCCCCTCTCTCTCTCTCTCTCTCTCTCTCGTACAAATCAGATAGCCCTCGTGTTTCGATGCTCCTTCTATTACTTATAGGATAATAATGAGTTATCTGATTCCAATACAGAAAGTAATTTAATAGACACAAACACGTGTCATAATTATGCATTTATTACAAATAGTGCAGAACAATGATATGTAGTTTTCCATCAAATATTGAAAAAAAAAACAAATCCTACATGATATTAAAAATTATAATAATAGTATTATTTACTACCACACCTGAATCTTTACAGTATTTAATAAACGATGTAGAAAATTATTGCAATACATTTTGTTTAAAAATAAACACAAGTAAAACGAAAGTCATGATTTTTGAAAAAGGAAGACCGACGAATCACGATTTCTATCTTTATGGCGAAAAACTAGAGGTCGTTTCATCCTTTAAATACCTGGGTGTTTATTTTTTTAAAAACGGTAATTGGTATAGAACGCAAAAATGTATTGCAGAACATGCGTCAAAAGCTTTATATCGTTTATTTTCTGTGTTTAATCAATTCGAATTTAAGGTTTCTGAAAAATGTAAATTATTTGATACAATGATTTCATCTATATTAAACTACTGCTCGGAAATATGGGGTGGAAACGAAGGTAAAGATATTGAGCTGATTCACACTAAATTCTGTCGAAAAATACTTGTCGTAAATAATTCCACAAACCTAATCGGACTATATGGTGAACTCGGTAGATTTCCAATGAAAATAGTAAGAAAGGTTAATATGATTAGGTATTGGTGTAGAATACAAAAATTGAATGGAAATTCTGCTGTTAAACACATATATAACATGATAGTAAGTGATTTAGATAGAAATATTACATATAACGGTTCTAATTGGGCATTTCAAATAAAAACAATGTTAGATAATTTAGGGATGTCAGATATATGGCGAAATCAAGGAAACAAGGAACATATATTGAATGCTATTAAACAAAGAATTTTTGATCAATACACCCAGTTTTGGTACAGTGAAATTAATAACTCACAGAAACTTCTAACTTATAGTAGATTTAAATATTCATTTAAACTTGAATCATATCTTGATAATTATTCGATAGACAAAAAATTCAAAATAGCACTAACTAGGTTTCGTCTGTCATCACATAACCTAGAAATTGAACGAGGAAGGTATAATAATGTAATAAGAAATGAAAGAATATGTCAATTTCGTAATCTAAATATGATTGAAAACGAATATCACTTCCTATTAACTTGTCCATTATACTCAAATATTAGAAAGAAATATCTGCGACGTTGATGATGACAAAAAATAAAAAAAGAATTAGCAAATCTCTCGAAATACATATACTTTGCAAATAAACTTCGAAAAGAACTTGAATAACTAATTATCAGTTTTCATCTAATTTTTATTGAAAAAAAATTTAAAAAATATCATTATTTCATACATTTTACTTCTCCTTTTTTACATTTTGTACTTAATCATTTATTCCAATTCTGATTATACAAAACAGGTTTCTCTCTTAAATTACTGTTCTTGTTTATTTGTGACTTTTCTCTTGTCTTATGGTAGTGTTTATATTTCACGTGTAACTACTACAGATGTTAATATGTAGGCTAGAAGTGATGTTAGATATTGCTTTATGCTGAATAAATGTTGTTGTTGTTGTTGTTGTTGTTGTTGTTGTAATAACAATAATAACAATGTATATAAGGCATTTTCAACAAGTTTTAAAATTAATTAGAAAGTTAAATAACACAAAAATGTTCAATCAATAAATACATGTATTTCTTATCTTCATAGTATTATAGATTGATATGTAAATTTGAATTAACTTTATCTAAATTATGAAACACTAATTGAATAATTATATTATACAATAATTTGACTAGTGAGCCATTGAATATGATGTGATATTCACCGGCAGATATTTTCTGCCGGTGAATATTACATCATATTTAATTGCTCACAAGTCAAATTATTGTATAACATAATTATAAATTCAAAAGCTCAAATATATAAAATATCAAACTATTGATAAAAAAGTTTGTGGTGGCAGAGATCTTTGTACTGATATAGGGGAGATCACTGCGTAGGAGATTGGCAGTCGGTGCGTGGCTTGGATAGTATACATGTACATCTCAATCTATTTTTAATTGGTCAAAATCCAATTTAGCCAGTGAATATATTACTTAACCCAGTGAATTTAACTTTATAAATTGTTCTGTTGACTACTATTAATAATAATATAAAATGACAAGGTATAACATGGTACAATAATAACAACATCTTGCATAGAAAGTACATGGTATCCAGACACTAACACTAAAACGTTCAATTAATATTTCTATTGTCCCATGAACCTGTCTGATATTGAAATGTAAGCAATATGTTACATTTGTCAAAATGTCGCCATGTCAATCAACCTGAACATTCAAACAGACTAGAGGTTTTAAGTTCTAACTCAACCATTTATGCCTCGAGTTGTCACCTACACTACTTAAGGATCCAAAACATAGAATTTTATTTAAAAATGTCATTTCTTATAAACAACTAGATAAAATATGCAACATCGTAGATATTATAAAAGAAATAATTGATTAAAGTGAACAGATCAATAATGGAAATTCTGAAGTACCATAAATAATTAAATTCATTGTATTGAGTATCATACGTAACAATAAACCGGAAAGGAATGTTGTTAATAAATACATGGTCCGATATGACACATTTATAAATGGCAGATAATAAATTATTCCTTAAAGAAAATATTAATATCATTTTGCAAATACATTATTAGAACTCTAGCAACATTTTCCTTCTCAAAGAAAAAACGAATATCTAAAAGGAAACATTTCAAATGTTTTGAACTTTTACAGTATTTGAAATATTTATTAAAAAATTTGATCAAATAACTGTAAGAATGTAACGCATGGCAACAGCAATTAGGTGTTAAGCTTCTGCCAGAAGAAAAAGCAATTACTAGCAGATAAATATCAAAATACCACTTTACTCACGAATGACAATTTATTTTCATGGCACACATATATGAGATAATATATCATTATAACATTTAATGTCATAACTGTATAATCATTAGAATTTTCATTGGAATCTGACGATCGAAGTTCATGTCATCATACCACTAGGACTGGTGACGACTGCTGTATTCACACATATGTTTTTTATACCAATCCAATATCAAACAACCACCTCTCGAATAATGCCGACAGCGATGTCCATAACTGAAAGTGAACTGACATCATGAAAATGCTTTTAAAAAAGCAAAACAAGCAGTGTATAATAGAAGCAAATTTATATACAATTAAACTGCAATCGCTTATTCTTTAAAAGCAAATCAAGCGTCAGTTCCAAGTAAATATGTTGTTTGTTTACATTTTTCTTTCTGAAGGAAGAACAAAGCAATGCTTAATAACAGATAAAGAACATATCAAACAATTTGTGATCATGTTTGTAAAATGTAAACTAAGGGTTTTGTCTTCCACACACAGTGCTATTTTGTCTTCCACACAAAACGTTTGAATCAAAAATACTAAAGAAGCAAAAAATTATTCTGTGAAATGACCACTGGGTATATTTTTGGATAACTGAAACATGACATCAATAGTTAGCCTTAAAATAAAAAACTGCACATGAAACACTAAAGTTCATCAATAAGCGTGTCCCTTTCGTGATATTCGAAACTTTATGAATACATGTGTGTTGCCAAAAAAGGGCTAAAGACTTACCGTCTGTTTTTCACAAATATCATCATTGATCCATTCATCCATGTCAACATAATTTTGTGCTGTTCTTTTGGCATAAAGTTCCTCACATAATCTGCAATACATGGATTTCTTTTCACGCTTATAAATCTTCATCCAATCAAAATAAGCGTTTCATTATCTCCGACCTTGACCATCTCGTCTGCTAGTTCCTGAATACTATTGTAATCGAACACATTTAGGTAAGACTTTGGAGGCAACATCTCTACATTGTATTTCGGTGCGGCAATTATTGGGATCTGCCCTCTATCTCATGTCAACCAAAATTTCTCAGAAACGTAGTCCCTACAGAAACTATTTTCAAAAGCTAAATAGCATTTATACTCGTAGAGTTGCTTACATTCGTTCGGGGATTTCCGGTATTGACATATCACTTTTCCGGAACAAACCCCAAATACGTCGATGTCAACGTATCTTTTCAATTCCCTGATTATTTTATACCTTCTTGCATCATCGTCACAATTACTTATCATGGTTGCAGCGAACTTTGTTTTGGTTTTGAAATGATTTTCAGACACTCCTTTGGAATGCGTTTCACTCTTATTTATTTCATCTGGAGACATTTTAAACCAGCTTGTAAATGGGTAGTATACGGTGGACTCCCTCCTGTATAATGTCGTCCAGTTAAATCCATACTGGTTCATAGAAACTCGCATTGTATTCATTGGTTCAATACTCAGTAAGATCCAGACTTGGTTCGGTGTTCTCACATTAGGCATTGGTATAGGGAATTCATAAAGCGTGCCAATTAAAGTTCGATATTTCCACAAACCGTTGGCATTAAATAACACCGCGTTCGCATTCTCTATTAGGTTTTTATCTAGTGTGTACATACATTTAGTCGGGCAGCTTTTCATTGAATTTTCTGCTATAATCTCCCATCCCCATTCTCCGAAATAACGCGTCCAAACGACTATAGTTTTTAGAGAAGCTGGTTTCAGGTAACTGGCCCCGTACGTGACCACATGGTCTTTTTGATTTCTATTGTTAGGTTCAGATGGTGGATTTGGGTAATATGAAAATGCTATAATGCACATACGTTTTAAAACCAATAAGAATATTAAACAGAACAATAGCGTGGCTATCACTTTGCAAAGTCTACTCAACCGTCTTCTTCCATGATACATTGTCCATACGTCTGTGTAACAACAGTTTTCCTCAACACGTGCAGGTCATATATCAATGGGTGGATGGATATTTTGTCAAGATCTAGAAGAGAACGAAATAATTAAGAAACCATTTGATTAAGGTTTTTTATCTCCAATGTAGGAGTTTTAAAGTCATGTGTAGGACTTATAAAGTCCTACGTATGAGTTATAAACTCCTAATGAGGCTTTTTATCTCCTATGTAGGAGTTATCATTTTTATAGAACATGTTAAATTGGCACCAGGACGCTTCCTTAACAATAGGCAAAAGATGCATTTCAAATATTTTAAATATTGATAAAACAAAAGAAATGTGTCATTTGAATAATTCTATAAAATATTGCTTGACAAAAATGATTCAGTTCTAAGTTATTTAGTAACACTTTTTTATGATTTTCTATTTTATTAATTATATTTTGTTCTACTAGACAATTTAATATCTGCTAAATTTCGAAAACAGAAGTTATTTAAAATGCTTTATTTAAGCGTAGAATCGAACTACAGTGTATGCCACAAAATAATATATTAATGAACTGATATAATAAAAAGAAAGGAACTCTCTTATTAGTCGCAGTTACATACAGGCACCGGATTACATAGAAACTGATAGTTATCCAGATAAAGTCAGGTATTTAGGGATTAACAAGCAATTAAATGTACATGCATACCATTAGCTTCATGACGACAACTGTATAATATACCCATGCGACAAGTGCAGAACAAGGTCTGCCAGCACTTCCATGCACTTGGCTAAGTCAACAATATCTGAAACGTTCCCCTAATAATGATTAGCGGTTTTGTCCAAAGTAAAAATTGGACAATTAAAATATTAAGCGTTGTAAGGGTTAATTTTCTACATGTTAACTGTAGCTAAAAAGATCCGTCAGTCAATATACAGTTTATGATATTTAGGGTTTTTTTTCCATAAATATGTAAGACGAAGCGTCTTCCGCTTTTTTTGCTTCGATAACCCAAAAAGCGATATCACCAATAGACGACCAAGTCAACTTTCCATTCGTGTTTTCGAATTTTGGACGCAAAGAAATGAAAGCACGACATGGCGTATATCAGCCACCATAAATTTCTTTTTATAAGAATCAAGAAAATTAGAAGATTACGGGAAAGAACAGAATTTATCGACACAAAACCGTAAATCTGAAATGAAATATTGATTTCACACGCCTGTGTCCCTAGCAACGGACACAATCTTCAGATAGGTTTCGAGCGTTTTAAATTACTAATCAATTAAAAGACTCCTTATTCCTGGCTTTATATTGCTATACTGCTTGTCTTTTCTCTTTTTCTTCTTGATTATCTTGGAAGTTGTTGTTCTAGAAACAAACATAAGAAACAGACCAATTAAGAGATAAGAAATATTTTCATTTTTATCAGACTCTCACAATCTGTTCTTATACAACAGAAAACGAAATATTAAAATTATAAAATCATGTAAACACAACCACAACCCCATCACCCTATATTTTTTCTAATACGGCTTGTGTTAAATAAAACATTTGGCATATATACCGGAATGGTAAAGTCTTCCCCATAGTACCTATACATTTATACTTATCTCAATGTATGGCGTTATAAAACAGTTTTATAATTGGAATAAAATGCACTTTGATTTTCTAATTGAAAGTTGCAGACAAAAGAACCTGATACTAGTAATTAACATGTAGGCTCAGTACGACGGTAACCAGCCCATTTCCAAAGTTTATTTTTGTTGTTTTTTTTGTAAAATTTATACTTTAAAACAGTTACCATGGATATCTTAAAACGTTTCAAACGGGAAGTTTATTTCATTCAAATAGCGATTTATTATCAGTGCAAATCAATATTTGAAAATATATATATTTGTTATACAAAGTAGAATAAATAGTATACCAATTTCCAAATATTATATTTTTATACAATGTATACTTTTATCAATTAAAAAGGGGCATACCTTGAAATTTCGAAATATGTGGAAATTCCGCACACCATTTAGATATAATGATGATAACAGGAATGAATTATTTCAGTTTATTTTAGATTAACATATTGAATATACATTTTTACACACAAAACAAAAACTAACATACACAAAGAAAAAAATGTAAAATACTCCAAATACTCGTAAATGGTAACACGTCGAATAAATTAGTCATTTAAGTGCAAATTTATCTTCTATCCATAATATCCAAGAATGTCAACGTTCTCTCACCTTTAAACTTCGGTATTTTTATCAAACGACGAGTTGTTCACGAAAACACTTGAATATTTTAACCAATTTCTTCTATAAGTACGACAAATGTACATTCCATATTTGAAATGAATAAAACGCACACAATACTGACAATGTAGCAGCATAATATTTCTGAATTATAGAAAGAAATACAACAATCTCTTTGTAGCATTAGATTCGTAGTTTCGTGAACAGCAGATACTTTATTTTCAAAATATCAACAGGTAAAGATATCAAGACAACAAAGAAAAATTGTAGTATTATATAATTATTGACCGCAAGGAAAATTAGCTTGTAAATTTGTCCTTGTACAATAAATATATGTCATGAACTAACTTTCTTTATAAAGGTAGATTTGTCAATAGTCATATCTTTAATATATAGTTCTCTTGTGCTTACTGTTAGATTGTCCTCATTTTATGTCAAATTCAACCCCAGATTTTTTGTTTATTTTGTATATAGTGGTAATAGAAATATGACTTTTGAAAATATATAAAAAAATCCAAAATATGTAAGTCACAAATACTATTATATATGTAAATAAGTTGTGTATCTTTTAAGGTCCATAAATATGATACATCTATACACCTGAAGTGGTTATTTCGTCCGTAAAGTATGTATTAGAAGTGACCTCAAATTACTTTGATCGTTAGTGAATGACATGCGTGGCGATACGAAAAAAATATGTGTTGTATTTGTCGGAGCCGTAGGAAATATATTTAATTTTCATTGTGCATTAATTGTTCGTATATGTTAATTTCTGAGAGATATTATTGTAGCAATTAACTGCCTGATGTCTTTTTTATGATGATATTAATGTAATGCAGATATAGAGTACACCAGTAAGTTCTAACTACAAGTAATAAATTGATAGAAAATATTAGAAGTAAAATGAAATTAACTTACAAAATGCCAATTTTATTACAGTGTAAGTTGTCCGATCTATATTCAATGTTAATGATACATATATATTGTTAAATGATTAATTTTTAATTGGGTCTTTCAATAATTGACAGTACGGCTTGAATTGTTTGACGACTATGTATAGGTCATAACCTCTGAAGGATCTGATCAATAATATTTACTAAAGTCTCTGGTGATTATTTCTATTGGTTATATAGATAGCCGTTAACATTAAACACGCTGAATGGATTCGCCGAACTTTCAATCTGGAACATTCCATTAAAAGTTATAGGGAAACAAACATTATTTCACTTTATCAATGGAACATCAAGTTTTTATTTAGAAAACGGAGCTGTAAAGAAAAACAATATTAAAATGTTTACCTTGATAAGTATGATAATTAATCAAATTTAAAAAACAGTAACTTAACTGTCTTATTTTCCATGGAACATTTTTCCGAAACCTGAGGAGAAAATCACATTAAAATTTAGTTGTACTGAACTATCAGTTTTACTGAGCAAACTATCGAAAATTAAAAAAGATAAATATCAATCGACTGCTTCTAGTCATGCATAATATGTATCAGAAATTCGTTTTATTATTTTTTACGATGAAAGTATTTCCCGAGAAATTCGATAGTTTGTGAACTAAGAACAATTTCGACCCCCATATTTTCCTGTCTGGTGTCACTTTTGTCAACTTTTGGACGGGCCGTAAGTACGCTTTACAATGTGTGCGAATGCTGTCTTTATTTTTCAAACTCCAGGACGAGATGTCAATGCTGCGAATATAATTCTTGTAGTGTAAATATGAACAAAACCTTTTACCCTTAAAATTTCTTGCAAAAAAACTACTGTTTGCTGATTTTCGAAATTAATGCGTTTTCAAAAGATTTAGAATCTTATTAGGGAATAGATAATATCTCTCCTGTCATTTTTTCGTTTTGACGTTTATTTTTTTCAGGGTGTAGATGTACATGACGTACACGCTCTAAATGTCAAAATAGGAAGCTACATCTATGCAAAATAGCATATGTTTTATGCTAAACTTAAGGGGCGTGAGTGATATGCATTTTTAATCAACTGTTACGAACAAACCAAATCAATCCGAGTTTTCAATATTCATATATTATGCGGGTTTACATTGATTCCGAGAGATCTCTTCTTTCCACACTTTCTTACTTGGTATAAGGAAATATACCAAAGTTCAGGAATTTGAAAAGTCATGACCGGTATTTTGTATAAAACGTTCCGTTGATGTATATTAATGTATTTACAGTAAATAATCACAATAATTACATAATTTATTAATTCATTGAAAATAAGAACAAATTCTTAAGTCTTAAAGCTAACTTGTTATTTTATGAATTGTGAATGTTTGTCTTTTAGAAAGTTGAAAACATCAACAACAAAAAAACCGTATATTTGTTTTTATTAATTTGTTTTTGTTATAGAAATTATGGCATACAACTGATGGTAACTTAATAATCAAAAATATAAGAATAATTTGTTCATGGTAGATATGTAAAACATAGTTACAATGTGATAACCAGTCATTTTGAATTTTCTTTATTATTTGAGTGAGACTAAAAAAGGATTGGAGCACCACACTAAATACCGATCCTGGCACAAGGCCTGAATAACAAAATGCTTAAATCTTGGCTTTTTTTTCCAAACGGAATGAATTTTAAAAGGTTTAATTCATCTTTTCATACCGAATTATGTATGATAATGAATGAAAATTTAATAATCGGTGAAAAAACGGTATTTGTTTATTTTGTGATCATGATTTCTGCAATGTCTAGAGGTTCTGCTCCAATCCTGTAACAAGTTAAATCCGTATTTTATCTGACAAAATAGGTAAATCGTCGAACTGTGCTCATTTTACTGACTGCATTAAACTTACCAGGGAAGGCACGCGGATTTGTTG